GGGGGGGGGGGGCAGAAAAGGTGTGGATCGTTCGAAAGAAATATACAAAGTTAAGAAAACGAAACTCGTCGTTGTCGTCATTGAGGTGATGTAGTCCGAACGTGAAGTACGACCCTAGGATAATGGGGGTAGCACATCGCCATTGTAAACAGACTTGGAAGCAGTAAGCAGCTCCGGGATTTAGTTCGATGTGTCGGAGGATGGGGACAGCGGGAGGTGGTTGGGCGAGACGGGGAGTCTGACGGTTGGGATGAGGAAAGCCGGAGAGTAGGGTGCCAAAGCGGGGCGAGGGTGAGAGGGGACGTGTCGTGAAGAGAGGGGCAGACTGTCGAGGGTGGGAAGTTGCCGAGACATCGATCGGGCCGGCCATTGCTTGCCACACTCCACTACTAGGAGTCAAGATGCCATATCCACTACGAGGAACTAAACTCCATGAAACTACTCTCTGCCGCTCTCTACGCACTTGTCCTAACCCGCTGTAACTCTGTATAGGTGTGCGCCGCGCGCGCATAGGTCGAGCTGACGCGACGAACGTTGGGGACGATCACACAGCAGAAAGAGAAAGAGGTAGGGAGGGCAGAGAGAGAGAGAGAGAGAGAGACAACGGGAAAGGAGGCAAAAGAGCGACGGGGAAGACACGAGAAGCAAGTTTTATGTCCTCTGCGTACGTATTACGTAGCAAGCACGCACGTAGGTGTACATGGGCACATCCACGAGAAAATAAGTGTACGCGGGACTCACTCATCGGTGCTGCTGCTGCTGCTGCTGCTGCTGCTGCTGCTTCCATGCTGGTGAATCGCGCGCATAGAGGAGAGAGAGAAAATCGTTTGTATATACTTGCGGCCCCGTGAGGTCGCTTTTATACGCGCACTCTCTCACATACTTGAGCCGTTCTCGGACGTTCTTACGCGGGGATGCCAGCGAGCGTGAAGTAAGTTATAAATTGGCCGCTCTAATACGTGGACGAACTTGTTCTCCATGTAACCGTTGCGCCTAATGGGTTATAGGTCATTACGCTTCGCTAATGGATTATCATTTCTCTAGGAGTTATTAGTCCTTCCTTGCTCGATTGATTTGAGATATTGTGCTAATCAACGCGTCGAGCGCGTACAATATACATAGATATATGTGTGTAAGTATTGTGTATTTCTCCGAACGATGTGTTCTTTAGATTATCGTGCCTCTAGAAATCATTCATTTCGCTGGATAGATCTCGCATGGGAAAATTTTGTCCTGACTGCGTTCGCGCTCAAATTAATTTAATATCTCGCTAAGTTTCTTCTTAACTAGAATTAGAACTACGAGGTTCTCAGCCCGAACCGGTTTCTTTGGAAATCTTGTCGTCGATTCGCTGAACTTCGCTGGATTTTCTTCAACGTATTTACGATAATAATGATTACTACTGAGCCTGTTCCTTTTCATTTTTTCTCTTGTATTTTTAATATATCCAGTGAAGCATAGTATGTAGTAGCAGCGTATGGAAGGTTTTACGAACAACTTTCTTTGTTTCTTTGGAAGTGATTTATTCCGTGAAGCGCGTCTAGAATGGGCGCGGAAACAATAAGAAAAGTTGTCGCGGTTTATGTGGAAAATTCTGATTCAGAGCGGAAGAGGATATAGGGAACCGTGAAGAAGGAGGGGTTGGCGAAGTCGACGGAGTGTATGTAACTTTGAAACTCAACAAGGGTATATTCATCGCGTTCCCCTACCCATGAATAGAAGGAGACACGAGCTGGCACATGTCTTCAGCCGCACTGGCATTGTTCTTTTTATGTATGCTTCTTGATCGAGTCCTTCTTAACCCGACCGCGCGGTGCAGTGGTGAGGCAGAGTTATGCGAATGGATGGATCTCTCGTACAAGAGATGCCGTAACAATTCTTTGCATCGTAATACTCGAACGGACCGCGACCGCGCGCGCGCACGGTCAGATCTGATTTAACGTCACTCGTCGGCCGGCATGGAGACGCTTAAAGGGATGTTAAACGGATGTTAAACGGTTTTGAGAAGCGTTCCGTGTGCTCGAGTCGTTCCACTCGCCACCTGTCGGCCTCTCTCTGTCTTCAAGGTTTCAGATATGAATGCAACGAATGTGTGTAGTGACTCGACACGAGTCCGTGCTCTTGTACTTTCTCCCACGTACACTCTGTTGCACGCTTTTGCTCTGTAGGTTATTACTGGTTGAAAGTTCGAAGCGACGAACGATTGTACCGTCAGTTTACCGTCGTTGCTCCTATTATCGCTTTTGTTCAACGAACGTAACTGGCGACGCCTTTTGTCAGTGGCTAATTAAAAGTTTCCACCAACTTGGGAATCTTTAACGCTGAATTTTTCTGCTATCGCCGTTGTTCCTTTTGCGCGAACACGAACCGCGCGGCGCTTGAATGGATCCGTAACTCCTGCCGAGGAATAGTTTGCCAAGGTAAACGCCCAGGGACGATGCTGAAACGTAGCGAGCCAAATGTTTTCCAAGTTGACTCGCACAAACTCGAATACTACTCGCGCGAGCCGGGATGAGTCACTGGGTGAGCCGATTTGACTGTCACGGTGCAAAGGCAGCAAGTTATTAATGCGTGCACCTATATCGATCAGTGTGTAAAAGAGGAGGCAGACACGGAGGTTCGTGCTTCGAGCGCACTTTGCATGTGCATCGACATTTGCAGAACCGAGTGCGATCTCAAGGCCGACGCGGCGAATGAATTTACAGAGTTCAACCATTTCTTGTTTATCTTGTTTTCTCATTGCTTTTTCTTTCCTATTTTCTTTTCCTTTCCTTAGTTATTCTGCTTTCTCTCGATCTTTTTTATTTCGCTAAAATTTTCGAAAAGTCATATTAGGGCTAATTTACAAATCCTTTTAGTTTTACGAAGAGAAGGAAGAAAATAATCGTTTTAGTATGTTACAAGAGCAAATATTAAATGAATTAACGGTACGGAAAAATTAGTCTTATCTTCGAAATAATTCGAGATGATTCATAGATATATAGTAATACTTCATGAATTGAATTTACATACTAAATAAGTATGTAAAAAAATATCGCATGAACATAAGCGGTATATACAATAATTTATAAGCTGTCGTTATTAAGAAAAACGTTAGGAGTAATTAAAGTGCTACCGTATTTTCTTTCAAACATTATCAACTGATTTATTGATATTATCATAAATTATTGAAATAGGGATTTAATCTATTCTCTTTGACGAAGAATCAGTTAATTCAATATGATGGAGCAAAAACCATTTCAAAAATTTTCCACATAAATATATACATACTACATTCGATTTAACGCGTAGATATGTATGTCCTACGAAGTATTATCTTTCATTTCTATGAATCATCATGCGTATCTTATGATCTTCAAATATATTATCTGTTTACTTAAAGATTTCTACCTACA